TGGCCCCCTTGCAGGATGGCGGAGCCTCGCTTTAACAACCCCTACTTCTGGCCGCCCCCTCCCACCATGCCCAGCCAGGTAAGAGCCCCTCCCTGCCCGGCAGCCAGAGAAGCCAGGAGGGGCAGCTGTTTGCAGGGGCTGGGACCTGCCGGCGCCTCCTGCCAGGGAAGGGAGCCCCCCGGCCAGGTCCAGGGCTAGAGAGGGATGAGCCAGTCCTGGGATCCCAAGGGTGGGGGGTGAGCAGCGTCTCGGGGGTCCCTGAGCTGTGGCTGGCAGGGGAGGGGGGGTGCAGAGCAGAGCCCCAGCCGGCTGGGTGGGTGGGTGGCAGCCCAGTGCCACGTGGCAGCGTGGGATCTGCCAGTCCTGGGGCCCCGCTGCATGTGGGGAAGGAAGCAGCTCAGGTGGGAGCTGGGGAGCGGAAGTCTGTCCCCGTTTCCCTAAGCTCCCCCGTAGCAGCCCTGGATGGGAGCGCCCTTCCCCCCACCCCACGTGGCCTTGCAGGGGAGGGGCCGTGAGCCAGAGCAGTGGCCCTGTTGGGGGCTGGGAGCCAGCGTCCCTCCCCCTGCGCCGGGCTGGGGCCGGGACCTGCCGCTCTCCCGTGCTCTGGCGGTGACTTGGGCGTCTTGCTTTCCTCATCCCAGCTGGACAACTTGGTTCTGATCAATAAAATCAAGGAGCAGCTGATGGCAGAGAAGATCCGGCCCCCTCACCTGCCCCCCACCTCGGTGTCCTCCCAGCAGCCCCTGCTGGTGCCCCCCTCGCCTGCGGAGAGCAGCCAGTCCATCATGTCCCTCCCCAAATTGCAGCAGGTCCCCGGGCTGCATCCGCAGGCCGTGCCCCAGCCCGACGTGGCCCTGCATGCCCGGCCGGCCACCAGCACGGTGACAGGTAACCACAGCCCAGCAGCACTGGGGGGGGCCGGGTGCGAATCTCTGCACCCGCAGGAGGGGACAGGGCTCCAGGAGAGGGGCCAGATTACCTGGCAGGATCTCTAGGCAGAGGCTGGCGCTGCAGCCCTGAGACCATGTTCTCTTCCTTGGCAGGAGGGTCTCGTACCCGCTGCCCTCTCTGCCGACGGGGTCCGGAGGTGGAACCGTCAGGGCCATGTAGGCCCCTGCGCCTCCATTCTCAGGGGCTGAGGGGGGTTCTTTTGGGGGGGATGGGCCTGCCCTCCTCCCCTGGCCAGGGTCTCTGAGTGGGATCCAAGTCTGGC